GGCGACCCACTTGTACATGTGGATCCACCAGAAGGACTGAGAGACCGACAGAAAGGTCTTCTCGCGGCCCAAGTGGCCGCTGGAGGGCGCGTCATGCGCCTCCGCGAGGATGATGAACTTCAGATCCTCGTCGTTTGGTACGACCACCCGTGGAGGATCAGTGGGCTCCACCCGATAATAGAGGAGGCCCTCCTTCAACTCATATCGGTGGAGCCGTGAGCGCTGTCGCGACGAGAGCCAGTCGGACTTCGCGCTCGTTCCGGCCTTAAGGAACTTGACAATAGGCGCGACAGCCTCATTGTCCCGATACGCCATGCGTATCCGATCATATAGATCCGATGTCACCCGCGTGATGTGGGCCAACTCATAGTCAAGACGCCGAGAGAGGGCGTCCGCAAGCACGTTGAGCTTGCCCGGCTTGTATTCGACGCGGAAGTTGTATTCCGCGAAGAAGGACAGCCACCTCGCCATCCTTTGGGAGGGGTGAGGCGCGTTAGTCGCCGTCCTCAAGGACGCGTGGTCTGTGTAGATCACAAAGGGCCTAGAGCCCAGAAGGTGAACACGGAACTTCACAAGGGCATATTTCATTGCCAGGAGCTCCTTGTCATGGACAGGGTAGTTCCGCTCGGCGGCTTTGAGCTGCCGGGACTGGAGCGAGATGACTCGTTCCTGTCCAGCCGTGTCGTCCTGCAGCAATGCACACCCGATGGCGTAATCGGAGGCATCGCATACGACGCTAAACGGCTTCGTCTCGTCCGGCAGAGCCAGGACAGGGGCCTCTTGGAGACTGGCCTTGATGCTGTCAAAAGCATCCTGGTGCTCTTGTTCCCAGCGCCAGTCGACGTCCTTCTGAAGGAGGCTCGACAAAGGCTTAGCGAAGCCCGCGTACCCAGCGCTGTACTTGTGAAGGTAGTTGGCCAAGCCCAACCACTTTCGAAGATCCTTCTGGGATCGGGCGTCGGCCATGCTGCTATGGCCTTGACCTTGTCTGGGTCATCCCGAACGCCCACGTTGCTGACGAAGCAACCGAGAACTTTAATCTCTGGTGACGCGAAAACGCACTTGTCGATGTTGGCGTAGAGCTTGTTCGCTCGCATCACGTCCAACACTCGACGGAGGTGTCCTAGATGCACCTTCATGGTCGTCTTGCCTCCCTCGGCACGGCTATGGACGAATATGTCGTCGAAGTACGTCTGTACGAAGGTACGCAAAGGGCGGAACAATTGCGTCACCAGGCGATTGAACGTCGCCGGGGCGTTAGACAAGCCCTGCGGCATGACGAGCCACTCCCTAAGCATGCCGCTTGGAGTGCTTACCGCGGTGAGCGGGATGTCACTCTCTCGCATCAGGATTTGGTAGTATCCGTCTACCAAATCCAGCGCACTGTACAGTACGCTCCCGGCCATGTTGTTCAACAACACATCCTTTCGTGGGATCGGTGTTTGGGCCGGCACCGTTGCGTTGTTCAGCTTGTTATAAGCGTGAACCAGACGCCACTTTCCGTTCGGCTTCCGAGCGCAGAAAGTCGGCGTCGAGTGCGGGGATTTCGATGTCCGCACCATGCCTGCCTTCGCTTTCGCGGCGAAGAAGGCATCAATGATCTCGCACTGTTCGCGCGGGAGAGGCCATTGCCTCGTGACACAATACTTTGTGCCGGGCACGAGATCAATCTCGTGCCGTACGCCTCGATCCGGTGGGAGTTGGGTCGGTGGGTGTTTGTTCACCACGTCCGCATACTCCGTCACCAAAGGATACACCGGATCCTTGGGGTTCTTGAGAATCTCAGAACCCAAGCGCGCCTGACGCTGCTTGTTCATGTCTTCCAGGACGTTCTCGTCCAAGACAGAGGAGGAGTTCAGCTCCTTCTGAGTGGTCTCAGGTCTCATGAGTACCATCTCAGCAATCTCTCCAGCCTTGAGGTTGGCCAGGAAAGACTTATCCTTCATTTCCTCGAGGTTCAGTATCTCCGCAACCTCTGGCAACGGTTCCAAGTGGACACCAGATGCCTTGACGGGTAAACCTGTCTCGCCATCGAAGATGTGATAACACTCTTCCACCGGCCTTGTCGGAGGAGCCCGGGCCCTGGACTCCGAGTCGCTTGAAGCGACGTCGATCGGAGCGAAGTTCGGATCCGACTTGAGGCGGCGGCGGCGTCTTTACCGACGGCGTCTGTGACGGGTAGCTTTGCTACCCACGTCTAGGGATGTCGTCGCTACGACATCCGAGGCACTCGTGGCCTCGTGTGATACTGTTGTACCCACACAGGAAGCGTGTTCAACGCCTTTCTTTTCAGTTAAGGTCTGGGCGACCGCGTGTGGCACTGTGTTACCCACACAGGAAGCGTGTTCAACGCCTTCCTCTTCAGTTAAGGTCTGGGCGACCGCGTGTGGCACTGTGTTACCCACACAGGAAGCGTATCCGACGTCTTCCTCTTCAGTTAAGGTCTGGGCGACCGTGAGTGGAACTCTGTTACCCACTCTGAACACGCTGTTCTCAGTGTTCATGACAGCTGCAGCTGTCTGCGGAACTAAGTTACCCGCCTGTGGACCTAAGTTACCCACTTGGCCGACGCCTCTTCTGGGCGCGGCCACCATCAAAACATCCTTGGAGTCGTCATATACGTCGACGACTCCCAAGCATCTGCCGGATGCTTTGGTACCCTGGCAGCCCTCGCGGGCGCCCCGGGTCCTGACAGAGGTGGGAACATGACTCACCAATGCTCTGTCGGACTGCGCAGGGCGGCTGGCACCGATTGCCTTGCCTCGCCAGTCGATTCAGGGCTCGTGCTTCTCAAGCCAGGGCATGCCCAGGATCATATCATATGGATCCATATCGAGAACAGTGAACTGTTCGAGGCTGTCAAAGTCTTCAAACTTGACAGCCAGATCCACTTGGACGTTGGAGACAGTGACGACCTTCCCGTCGGCCAGTCGCACTGACACCGTCTCGTTGCCCTTGCTTTCTCTCAAAGCTTCGGACAACTTGTTGCTGTCACGAGCAACCGTCTGGCGGCGTGCGAAATTCTTCGACGCCCCAGAGTCAATCAAGATTCTAAAGGGATGATCGTATCCCCGTACACATCCGTGTACTACGAGCAACCCGCCGCTGCTCTTCGCCGATTCGAGAGTGCGAAGACTCTCAGGGGCTAAGTCATCGTGGTACGCGCCACCCGCGCACCCATCACGAAGACTTACTTCTTCCCCAGTAGGGTGCCCCGCCCCTACTGGTTCCCTGCGTTCCCCTGTCCCCGGGATCCTGGCTTCTGCCAGCGACCCTTGAGGACGGGCTTGGGGAAGGACCGTCTGCGGAGTCTTTCCGCGGGACAGTCGCGCTTGAAGTGGCCCATCTTCCCACAGCCGAAGCAGCGGATGTCACGCTGTTCGGCGGACCGAGTTCCATGGGAGCTGGTCCGTTGGGGCTTTTCGGCCGGGAGCCGACAAGGAGCTCCCAGGCCACGCTGAGGCCGGCGTACGCGCCTGGCGATGGCTGTACTCTTCTTGAAGAGCCACGTGAATCGCCTCTTCAAGGGTGCTTGCCTGCACCCGGAGCAGCTGAGTGCGTGCGGGGCCCACTCGAAGGCCGTCCATGAACACAGTCATCTTGATGTGTTCATTGAGTGGGTTTCCCACTAGGGACGCCGTGAGCTCCCGTATCTCTTGCACATACTCGTGCAGTTCGCGCCTTCCTTGTTTACACGCGAGGAAGCGCAAACGCTGGCGGTACTCGTAGTTCGCCGGGAGAAACGCGGCTCGGAGCTGTTCGCACAGCTGAGCCCAGGATGTGAAACATCCAGGGGATGTTGTACACCCAACTCTTAGCACGACCGCTAAGGTTGGAGAGTGCAAAAGCAACACGCAGTTGCTCGGTCGAGATCAGAGCCGCGTCCATCGCGAGCTCTACTTTCGGACCCAGAAGTGAAGGTTCTCGCCTTCCTTCTTTTCATACGGCTTAACCTTCAGCCGTATTGGCTTCGGGTGAGGCGGATTTGATTCCGCCGCCGGAGCCTGCAGGTTCTCCCGCACATGCGCGATGAGGCCCTGCTCGTACGCGTCGAATGCATTGACGCGCTCGAGCTGCTCAGCCGGTGTTGACACCACCAGGCTCTGCAGGGCCTCCATCCCGAAGATGCCTGCCATCTTCCGAACCGACTCGAACTGAGAGTCGTTCAAATGGGAGAAGTCGTTCCTATCCATGGCAACGAACTTCGGAGGTTCAGGTAGTCTACCCGCGATGGCGTGGATTGACTACAAGTGCTACCAAGTGTGACGGGGTCACACAGCACCTTGCGCAAGAGGAAGTTATCTTCCGAGAGTATACAAACTCTCAGTGAACGGCAGTTCACAGGTCCCCTCTTTTATTAAAGAGAGCGAAGTGACCCAAATAAGGTAGATTGTAAACTGAGTATATTTATAGGTAGGATAAGGTCGGGTTTAATACAAACTATAAGTTACCTATAGAAATGCAATGTCATTTAACCAATGGTTGGCTTTGAACGACTTTGGTACCTTGTACCAAATATCCCGGAGTATGACGTGTCATACTCCTGAAGTGTGAAGTGTCACACTTCATGTAACCAGGGTACACTTAGGGCTACGTACCCCGTTACAGCTCTCGACGAGGGGGCCGTAAAACTGTGTCCAGGATGTGTGTGGGGGGGGGGCGCTTCGTCATGTCATTCTCTAAAAGTTGTTTCAGAACTATTAAAACATCATACTTCGAGGTACATGGCTCGACGCTGGCAAGCTGTAAAATAATATTTGACCATTAAACAGAATGGTGCGTTGAATTACATGACGTCATCAAACCTGTTGACGTCTCTCCGGCACAAATCACGGAGTGTCGTCAACAGGTTTGATGACGTCAAGCTCCAATTTCCGTGGGAGGCAAACAATTGTTTGGAAATGCTCATAGCGCTAGTTAGTGCTATGAGCATCACGTAGATGATTCGAGTCGAAGTAATCGAGCTCACATGACCTCATTACTCAATTTGAACAAGTCATCACAAGCAAGTCAGCATTCCTACTGACCATGGTCTCTGCTACCAGCCCAAAGCTCTTCACCCCTTTCACGTTAGGCGGCAAGAAAGCCCCCGTTAAACTGAAACACCGTGTCGTCATGGCACCTTTAACGCGGTTGCGCACTGGAGAGAGTGGCGTGCCTACTCCTCTAGTGGCTGAACACTACGCTCAACGAACCACAACCGGTGGATTTCTCATCGCCGAAGCCACCAGCACCAGTCCTGCGGCTCGCAACTACTTCGACGCTCCAGGACTCTTCACCCAGGCACAGGTTGACGGCTGGAAGGCTGTGACCAAGGCTGTACACGACAAAGAAGGCAAGATCTTTGTCCAGCTTTGGCATGCTGGGCGTCTGGGTCATCCACTAAACCAACCTAACGGGGAGCTCCCAGTGTCGTCAAGTGCGACGAGCGTCGACGACATTCACACCCATGCTATCACACGTGAAGGTCGCAAGGACTACGTGACTCCACGTGCCCTGAAAATCGAGGAGATCCCTGGTATTGTTGCAGACTTTAAGCGCGCCGCGGAGAATGCTATTGGTGCGGGATTTGACGGGCGTCGAAATCCACGCGGCCAATGGCTATCTACTCGAACAATTTCTGTGTGACGGCGTGAACAAGCGTACCGACAATTATGGAGGCAGTATTGAGAACCGCGCCCGCATCATCTTTGAGGTGCTGGAAGCTGCTCTATCTAGTCTTCCTTCGAGTCAGGTGGGGATCCGTTTGTCTCCGTACGGTGACACCTTTGCCTGTAAAGACTCGACGCCATCCAAGCGTACGGATACGTCGTGAACAAACTCAACGACTACGATCTCGCCTACGTCCACGTGATTGAACGTCGCGGTATGCACGCGGCTAACGTGCAAGTACCGGAGGTTGGTGTCGCTCGCCACTTTCGTGACACCTACAAGGGCGTCCTGATTACTTCTTCTAGTTTCGACCGTGAAGACGCGCTCAAGACGGTTGCAGAAGGCGCTGCTGACCTCGTGGCATTCGGACGCGACTTCATTGCGAACCCAGATCTCGTCGAGCGTCTGCGCGTCGGTGCCGAGTTTAACGCGCAGAATGTGAAACATTCTACCCGCAACTAGGTGTGCCACTCGAGTCTGGCTACACGGACTACCCTTTCCTGGTGCAGAAGCAGTAGGACGCAAAGGTGCAATCGGAAGTCCTGCAGCTTCCTACTCGTGTCCATGCATGTAATCCTTCAATAACCTTTACCGAAACACTTTGTGCACATACTCATCGTATAGAGGATGGAACTCACAGAATCCGTCAGTGTGGAGCGTAGGGAAGTCGTACGGGAAAAATATTTAATACCTGTTGTTCTGCCCCTGCTGACCTGTTGCTCCTTCACAGCCCCTGCTGGCCTGTTGTCCACCCTGGTGACCTGTTGCACATCAACAGGGAATCAGCACAACATACGCGGGACATATCGATACCGTGAGGCTGACGAAGTTCTGTAACTCAAGGCGAGTACCATCTTCAGTGCACTAATATGTCGACAAGGTGATATGAATTGAACTCAATCTTACGAGCTTCTCGTTAGCTTCTCGTTACGAATATTTATCTCATTTCTACTATAAGTGAGCATAGGAGCTGAGGAAAACACCATCTAACGAGAGTTTTGGCTACTTACCCTTTGATAGCACATGCTTGTAGATAGCATCATCTGCGAGCTAACGACTTGCACATTGTCATTGCTGTACGGCTCTCAGACCGAGTGTACAAATGGTCGGTGCGTTTTGGCGACGGTAGTGTTCAGGATTATGAAGCTGAACAGCTAGCCACAGCTGTCAACCGAGCCCACAACCTACACATTCGTGTTACAAACTAGGCAAAAGTGGCGAAATGATTCATGTGGCAACCATCCATTTGAAGATTAGAGGCTAGATGTATCGAGCGCTTCGGGTGCTGAGAACTAGGGACCTGCTAACAATTTAATCTACCTTTCGATTCGAGTATGTTAAGGTCACAACCACATTCAAAAGATGCGTACAGCTTCCATAGTACTGATGCATCCCACTGGATACATACAATGTCTCTACAAGTTGCGCTATGGAAGTACTTTATTATTTTATATGTGAGGCCTATTACTTGTCGTCAAAGCATAGGTAATAACGTAAAAATTAGTTTCATCAACGTATAATAAAAAAATGAAGATATTAATTATATTGTGTCTCCTTCAACATGTAACACTGCAACTCGTTGAAGTTGGTGTCCGTATATCACGCCTGCACCTTCCACAAAAACTATCAAAATGGTTATTCTTTATGCGGGTACTCAAAAACGAGAGCAACTAACAGCTGAACAATACTGACAACAGGCCAGTAGTACTTAACATGTGACGGGGTCACACAGCACCTTGCGCTAGAGGAAGTTATCTTCCGAGAGTATACAAACTCTCAGTGAACGGCAGTTCACAGGTCCCCTCTTTAATTAAAGAGAGCGGAGTGACCTAAATAAGGTAGATTGTAAACTGAGTATATTTATAGGTAGGTTAAGTTTGTGGTTAATACAAACTATCAGTTACCTATAGAAATGCAATGTCATTTAACCAATGGTTGGTTTTGAATGACCTTGGTACCTTGTACCAAATATCCCGGAGTATGACATGTCCTACTCCTGAAGTGTGAAGTGTCACACTTCATGTAACCAGGGTACACTTAGTGCTACGTACCCCGTTACATCCTCCCCCACTTAGGTTCGGTTTACCGACCAATCAGAATGAAGAGATGTTCGTCACAAACTCTCATTCTCAAAGTCGAAAACCATCGACTCGGCCGCGCGAGCGCGGCGGAGGCTCACTTTACAGTTAGAGCCTCGAGCAGCAACCTGTGCGCTCTTCGTCAAGGTCTCCACTTCGACCGTTAACATGCCTCGTGGCACTGCTATGAGCGGTGCTAAGACACGCTCCAAGGCTGCAGCCGGTAAGGCGCAGGCCAAGAGCACTAAGCCTCACGGCAAAGGCTCTGCACTTAAGGAGGCTACTCAGGTGGCCTCCGAGGCTATCGGATCCTCGGGTGACGCGGCTGCGGACAAGCGCGCAAGCAGGCGCCGCAGTCCGTCGCCCTCGTCTTCAGACAATCGTCCGAACCCTCGGTTCGTAGAACGTGAGTTCAACTCGGGCAGTGAGGACGATGCCGAGTCCGAGAGCACTCATGATGCTCCTGCGGGCTCTGTGGGAGGGCACAGCCCAGTGCCCAGTGAGCACAAAGAAGACAGCGTGCAGTCGTCCGCTAGTGATCACGGTGATCACAGTCCCAGGACCTCTGTGCGCTCTGAGAGTCCGGCCGTTAAGGCTAAGGGCACTCCCAAAGCCGGTGGCGATGAGGAAGGGAGTCCTCGCAAACGTCTCTCGCTTGCCGAGGGTCTTGCGCGCGCTAAGGCCTCTAAAGCCGAAGGCGCCAAGCCCTCAAAGAAGCGTACCGCCTCTAAGTCTCCACTCCGCGAGGAGAAGGAGACTCGACGCTCCTATCAGAGTCTCTTCGGCTCCTCGGATGAAGAGGAGGAGAAGGAGGAAGAAGAGGAAGAGGAGGGTGCCATTGTTGAGCCCCGGGAGGTCTCGAATGACCTCGACCAGCAGCAGGAGGATTTCCAAGCTGCCCAGCGTGTGCGTGGGGGTTCGGTGGCGGCACCCGTCAGCCAGGGAGCTGCCATCAACTCAAGAGGGTATTGGCCTCCCGAGGAGAGCTCTGGGGCTGACCTCTTCTTAGAGCTTCTCGTCGCTCCTCGTGGCCTTGTGGGCGGCCACACTTCTAGGGGCATCTATGAACGAGCCCTTGTTCAGAAAGAACAGTTGTTCGTCGACAACGTGGAGGCTGCTCGGTGTGTGCTTCTCGCGCCACACCGCATTCCCCTTAAGGACTTCACGACTTGTCGTAAGAAGCCCGAGACCCGGGGTGGTCTCTATCCTGTTTGGGGATACCCCTGGGTTATGCCCGAGAACTGTCCCACATGGAGTTCTTGTGAGGACATGTTCTGGGCGTGGGTGGAGACTCTCAAGTACTCGCCCACGGAGTTATGGGAACTCCATGAAGATCAGCAGCTGTCCCACATCCTGGACCAGCGTGATCTTCGTGTGAGGTTTGCCCACTTGATCAGCAAGCGTATGCTGCCAAGGGACATCCTGAAGCGCGCGGCTTCTAGCGCTCACGATGAGCGCGGGTACGGTATGTATTCATCATCCGTACCCCGTTCGGGCAAGAAGCCCCGGACTACTTATGAAGCTGCCGCCGCTTCTGTTCCCAGATTGCGACAGCCTTCGGGCAGTCAATCAGGAGCCGTTCAATCGGCTCCCACGAGTTCTCGGAGTGGGCATAACCCCTCCACTTCACGAGGAGCTGTCGCTTCCCGCGACACCGTTGCTCCTGGAGGATCCGCTCCACGTGGAAGTGGACTTCTCCATTCCGGTCAAGCAGGGGCGGAGGTGCCCTCGTACGAGTACGAGTACTCGGCGCCTCCCGAGAGCCACTCTCGTTCGAGTGCTCCGACTGCGGGTCCGACACGGGACCCTGAGGTTGACCGCCTCCGTCAACGTCTCCTCGTGCTTGAGATTGCACTTGGCCTTGGGACTGGCGGTAATGCTGCCGCCCAGGCCGGGAATCAGGGCGAGCTCGCTCGTCTTGCGGGTCGCCTGGACCTGGTGGAGCGAGAGGTCGCGAGCCTGCACCTGCGGGTGGACCGCCGGGCCTCTTCGTCCGATCTGGACGAGGCCTTTCGCATGATCCGACGGATCGAGGTTTTGTTGCCACGTCCGGAGCCGCCTGCGGCACACTCCCAGACGTACGCGTATGGTGCGTACCCGGCGTACTCAGCGTACTCGGCGTATGGCGCCGGGGTCCGTTCGTATGGAGCCCCTCCGGCGTACGGTCTTGACCGCAGCCTTGCCGTCCCGACCGAGGCTTGGGTGCCTGCTCCGACACCCTCGTCGACGACTGTGACCGGCCCTCGCTTCGAGGAGCTGGGTCAAGGGGGGTCTCCGAGTCAGCAACCCCCTGCGGGTCAAAGTACCGCTTAAGACGTCCGACATAGAACGTCGGGTGCGTCGTCATTGACTTTGGAAGGTCGATGGTGTACGACGCACCATGTCTGGCCAGGACTGCAAAAGGTCCGATGAAGCGGTGCTTCAGCTTGTTGCTGCCGACAGAGCTAACAGTGTCTAGAGGTAGGTTCCTCGTGTCTAGTAACACTAAGTCACCAATCTCAAATATACTTAAGTTTCCTCTTCCTTGTTTGTCCGAGTACTCCTTTTGTTTATCTTGGGCCGCTGCCATGGCATCGCGGACCCTGCTGACAATGTTCAGCTTGGTATCCATAAAGGATTCCACCTGTTTCCGCAGCGAAACTGGCCTCACATCCGAGACCTGGGAGGAAAGGGCTTTCCGAGCCTCTCCCCCACTTAGAATAGAGGAGTCAGTGTTTCCTCGAAGAGTGAGAGGCACTCTGGGTGGCGGAAGCCGTTCAAGTAGAACGGCGTGAACCCCGTGGACGCGTGCACCGCGTTGTTGAGCGCAAACTCAACAACTGGAAGCTGCGTCGACCACGTACGTGGCGCTGCCGCGCACACACTGCGCAGAGTGTCCTCGAGCACTCGATTGACGCGCTCTGTTTGGCCGTCTGTCTGCGGATGATCCGCAGTGGACATCTGCAGACGAGTTCCCAGTAAAGGGAACAGCGTTTTCCAAAACGCAGCAGTGAACCGCGGGTCTCGGTCCGAGACAATCGTCTCCGGGAGACCGTGATAGCGGAACACGCCATCGACGAACAACCTTGCGGTTTGTTCGCCCGTCACAGTGACGGGAACTGGAGCAAGATGTACCATCTTGCTCAGCCGACACACGAACACCAAAATTCCGGTGTTGCCGTGTCCGTCGGCGGGAAGCCCAAAGATGAAGTCAAGACTCATCGACTTCCAACAATCAGCCGGTACGGGCAGGCTCTGTAGTGGAGCCGAAGAGTGCCCTGCGGGTTTAACCCGCTGACATGTTTCACATGTCTTGACGTACCGGGCGACCCACTTGTACATGTGGGTCCACCAGAAGGACTGAGAGACCGACAGAAAGGTCTTCTCGCGGCCCAAGTGGCCGCT